CGCCGCCGCCGCCGCAGGCCCCAGGCCGGAAGTGAATGCCCCGCTCCGCAACCCCTTCCGGGGCGCCGCGGCCGCGGCCTCAAAATGGACGCCCTAGCAACTAGGCCCGCGGCCCCCGCAGGCCCTTGGCAACCGCCCCGGCGCACTGCGCGCCGACCCCGCGGGACCTGCCCGGGGGGCGCAGCCGCTGAGGCGTCCCGCCGAGCCCAGCCCGTGTCGCCGCGGCGGGCTCCGATCGGACTCGAGCCCCCCGCGCCCGCCTCCTTCTTTGCTGCGACACAAGTTCTCGTCCCCGCGGCCCGCCCCTCCCCCACCCAAACACACCAAAAAAAAAAAAAATCGCCTCCACCGCACTGTCTGCCCCCGCCGCAGCCTGATGAAAGCCGCCCCTGGCGACGGTGTTTGACCTTGGGCCGGTCCTTTAACCTCCGTGGCCGCGGGCGCCTCCCCGGGCAAGGGCTGCATGCCCGGGGTGGGCGGGAGGTTTCCGGGCGCGTTTCCCCCGCCGCGTCCGGCAGCGCCGGGGGCTCGGCGGCGCCGCTCGCACGCGTTTGCGTCCAGAGAAGAACCCCCCTCGCTTTCTACACCGATGTCACCCTCCCGAGGGGAAGTCCCGGCATCGAGGACTGTAAAGGGCCAACCCGGCCGCCGCGGCGGGGAGCGAGGGCAGCGGCCTGGGGGCCACGGTCGCCGGGGAGTGAGTGACAGGCCGGGTCCCGGAGCCGCTCGGGAAGCCGCAGGGCGACGCGGACGTGCACATAACCTGAGAGCCGCCGCCCCGTGTGGATACAAGGTATCCCCCACCCACCGGCAGACGGCCGGACACACACGCGTGCAAACTACTGGATACGTGTGAATACATTCCTGTGCGTTCCTCCCATCCTCTCCCAGCGCGTTTCATGATCCCCCCCATTCTTGCCCAGAAACCTCCCCCTGGGTCACCCCATTTTCCACTTTCTAAACTAGGTTCCTTCCACTGGCGTGAACACCCGCCGCAAATCTCTCCCACGGAAAAGAAACAAAACCGCCCTTGACCGCCCAGTGCCTGTCCTGTCTGATGGGTAACAAATAAATTCGTGAATATATGAACGCGTGCATGCACAGAAAGTCTTCAAGCACATGCACTAACGTGTTCATTTTCTTCTCAATGTATCTGGGGTATTTTTTTGTTTTGTCTTGTTTTTGTACAATGAGCATGAAAAATAAATAAAAATCAGGTTTACAAAACGTAAAATGTAGGAGGCACCAAATACATGCCATGACTTCCTTTCCCGCCCATCGATTCATCCATACGTATATTTGGTTTGGTTTTCTGTTGTGGTTCTTTCTACTTAACATGTTAAAAATTATATTACAGTATTTCGTTAGGAGTTAAGAAATATGACCCACAGTATGGGTTCATACCAGGTTTATGAATGGTTTTCCACAACAGCATAAGGCAATGAAAATGGGAATAGGTATTAACATTTACACAGCTGTTAAGATTACCTGACTTGTTAAAAAGTTAGACTGTCCTAGGTTTGAATAACAGTGGTTCTCAGTTGGGGGCGGGGGCAGTGTGCCCCGCCTACTCCCAGGGGACACTGAGCTATGTGTGGTTTTTGGCTCCCACAACTGGGTGCTACTGGCATGTAATGAGTAGAGGCCCGGAGTTCTGCTGAACATCCTACAATGCACCGGACAGCCCCCCACAACAGCACAAGAGTATCTGAACTGAAATGCCCAAGGCTGAGCAAGCCTGGAACGAACTCCCAGCGCCAGGGAAGCTGAGAAGATAGGATTCTGTGAAGATCCTCCCAGATGACCCTTGCAGGGCTGCATTATGAAGCCATGCTAATTACTTTCTAATGACCTCTGACTTCAACTTGGCGCATGGGAGAAGGTCAAAGAGACGTGACAACACAGGGTCAGAGCAGCACTATTCCTCAGCAGGACCCTGCTAAGGGATCCCCTCTCTGGTGACCCTTTCTCTATTAAGTAGTCCCTCTCTCTCTCTCTACTGAATGTTCCCCATCATCCTACAAACATATTCTAGTAACTTCCACTAAGAAAACAGCAACACACAAACGAAAGAAAACAACTCCCGTGATGCTCCATTCCTCTGTAGCGCCATTTTTTTTTTGCTCTTCTTCCCAGAAAAGCTTCTTGAAAAAGGTGTTCCCCACTAGCTCCCCTCTCCCAGTTGCTCAGCTGCTTTCCCAACCCACTAACCTGACATCCCAGCTCCTACCCCAAAATTACTCATATCAAGGTCATGAGTGACCTTGAAGCTGCCAAACTCGGTGGTAACAGGGCTACCTTGGTCTTGATTTCCTTCTTAGCTGTGTCTGTCACACGGACCACACCCACCTTCCTGAGAGGGACTGTTTCCTGGGCTGTCCTGACAGCACATTTTCCTGAATTTCTTTTTACCTCTCTGACCATCCCCTTTTTGTACCCTTTGCAGCATCTCTTGCTTTATGCCAAATAAACGTTGGAGATCTCTGAGGCCCTGTTCCTGATTTTTTCGTCTCTCTTATCCACTTTGTTTGGGATAGGCGATCTCACTATTCTCTTATATTTGAATGTGATTTAAATACAGACGACTCTCACATTCATATCTTTAGCCCATATCTCACCTGTGTACCCCAGAATGCCAAAATGACAGTTCACCCACACAACAAACATTGATTGAGCACCTACTATGTGCTAGGTGCTGTGTTAGGCCCTGGTTCTCTGGCACCTGTCAGGAATTACTCTAGTGCAGCGGTTCTCAACCCTCCTAATGCTGCGACCCCTTAATACAGTTCCTCATGTTGTGGTGACCCCCAACCATAAAACTATTTTCATTGCTACTCTATAACTGTAATTTTGCTACTGTTATGAATCGTAATGTAAATATCTTTTTGTTTTCCGATGGTCTTAGGCAACCCCTGTGAAAGGGTCGTTTGACCCCCAAAGGGGTCGCGACCCACAGGTTGAGAACCGCTGCTCTAGTGGATTAAGTCTAATGAGGCCGACAGGTGTTTTTTTTAAAAGGCAAACTGTGAACTATATAATTACAAAGGATGGCGCATGCGCGGAAGGAAAGGAATGCTGCTCTCAGGAACACAGGCGCATATAACAGAGATTGGCCAAAGCGGTTTCCTCTGAAAACGCAAACTTCACCTGGTAGCAGGATGAGGGGCAGCCACCCGGGAACGAGGAAACTAAGGTCGCAGGCTGGAGGTTTAAATTCAAGGCTCCTCCTTGTGGATGAAAACAGACCTCACCTGGTATGTCGCTTTAAATCCACTGAAGCCACCATTTTCATGTGAACCTGCACAATCAATTAGGAACAAAACCAGAAGCGAGGTCCTCTAGAGAGCAATGGGTTCCATTAACGAGGCTCATTTAAGTAACCACAGGCCGTCTTCTACACCAAGCATGTCCCCGAGATGAAGTGAACATTAGGATATTTTGCATGCCTCATGGTTGAAGTCTGCAGTTTGGGTATTTGTATGTGACGTTAAATGCTGTTTCAACAATAACTTTTTATGGAGCAGTTCAGGGAGAAACTGTAACTATCTCGGAAAGTGCCTTGCTTCTTGGTGAGCTGCATAAGAAACAGGCTGTACAAATTCCAATTTAAATAAGACCTTTTCCCCATTTGTCTTTCTTCCCCGGGCTCTTTGTTCCTTCAGTTTCTTATGTCACCAGGACATAAATGGTCTCCAGCCCTCTCTTCCTTATCTTACCGAAAAAAGCAAAGAACTAACCTGATACTTGGGAAATTACGTACCTGAAAGAAAGTGACCTTTTTTCTCTCCCCAAGCTTTGCTCCTTTCTTACTCCTCTTTTTGTTGTTGTTTTCACATCTGAAGTAAAAAATGCAATGGGTTTTGGGTCGGCCGAGTGGCGCGATGGTTAAGAACTGGCTTGGGACGCCAGAGGGCCCCAGTTCAGATCCCACATATGAGGTCCAGTGACACTGCCCTCCACAGCTAAGATGCTGAACAACAGCTCAACCTGGAGCTGGGCTGCCGTGAGTCGCCGGCGACAGCGTAGGCTGCAGCCCCTGTGGCAGTGGGTTGCCATGGGCTACCGTGTGTAGCCAGCAGCCTGCGTGAGCGGCCAGCTGCCGCTGTGAGCAGCCGTCCAGAAGCCGGCGACTGATCTGCCTCGCCCGGGAAGAGCGCAATGATGGTGCCAACTTGGGCCAGTGAAGCAACGCCCTCCACAACTAGACTGAAGACAAAACAACAGCAACTTGTCTGTTCTCCTTCCCCAACTCTCCAGCGCTATTCCCATCCCCCCAATTCCCCGATAAAAATCTTAAAAAAAAAATGCAATGGGTTTTGACAAATAAATACGCCCATGTGACCACCACTGTCCGTCACCCCAGAAAATGCCACCGTGCCCCTTTCACTCATGTGCTCCCTCCTAGGGCACACATCCGACACCAGGAAAGCACTTTTCTGACTGATATCACGATAAATTAGTACCGTGTTCTAGAAGCTTCTCTAAACGGAGTCAGTACACATCCTTT